GCTGCCACTCTGTAGAGGTCAAGAGCCTTAAGCCTGCCTCCTTCCAAATTATTTTCTGTGTTGTTTTTTTTCCTTCCGCTTTCTTCTTTCGACTCATTCCTAGCACGGGTTTAAATATTACATACAGGCTGCCTTCCTTGACTGCTATTTATGATTTCTGTCAGCTGCAGGCCCGCCCGCCCTGCCCAGTGGTTAATTTTGCCAACTAACCTTTGAAGTGATCCAAGTGATTGTCTTCCCTGACTACAAATCTCTTCAGAAATAGGCACTCTGCTGAGCCACGTGAATGAGTCCAAAGGGTGAATTTCTGGAAAAGCCAGAAATTACTAGGAATAGGAACCAAAGCCTTGTAAAAAGGGGGTACCGTGAGCTGAGAAAAACCTTTGGGGTGTGAGCAGAGTTCTCCAAATAAAGAAGAAGGGAAAAAAAAGGCATGTGAAGATGAGGAAAGGATAAGATGAAAAGGAAGCATTGGAACAAACATGCAGAGTCAATGAAGGACGCTAAGCTATAGCACAGGCTCTCACCCCACCAGCCCCTTCTACAGCAAAGAAAATGTCTTACTGTGTATCTTAAAATTGATGGCTACGGGGAACGGCTTGGTTTTACATATAGGCAACCACTATCCCTCACAGCTCAGACTGCACCACCCCTTCAGACAAAAATATTTGCTTTAAATCAAGGAGAGGAAAAAAAAAAAAAGTTTCCATAACCTTAGTGTTTCTGAAGACATGCCATCCTGGAAAACCAACAAAAAAAGCCAGAAGCAGGACTATAACTTCTATATTCAGTGCTTACACTGACTCAAAACAGCCCTGACTTGAATAATTTACAGCCAGATTTGCCTATTGACAATGTAACTGCAGGTATCAGTACGAGAATGATTTGTCCTGTGAATTATTAATATATTGACTGAAACGAGGGACATGTAATTAAGTTCCTCGTTGTAAGAGGCATCAGGCTGATATCTCTGTAGTTGCATCCTATGTAAAGGCAGGCCATTTTTCAGGACTTGCCTGCAAATCTCTACATATCTGAAAGCTTTTAATGCAAAACCATTGTCTATTCAGAAAATATTTGACTCCAAGATACGAATAACAAGTAAATAAAGTGTTCAGCAAAATTTCCCAAGTGGAATTCAATAGACTGGCAGATCAGCCACATTTCTAACACGCTGCCTGATAAAAATCTCCTCCAGACATCTCACTGATGTCCCAGTTATGCGTCTGAAATATATTGGTGCATCTCTAAAAAATAAAAAGTGTGCTGACTACAAATTCTTACTGGCTTGCAAATTGTCGCTAGCAGTACAGTGACCGCTTTCTATTTTGTTCCTCAACTTCAAATAATTTGCAGTCCTGAAGTGAGAAGTTAAGGCATTTCAGACTGGGAAGTGGAGCAGAGAGCCACACGGCGTGTTACCTGCCAGAGGTGGGGAGCTGCTGGCAGCTGCTGTTAAGATAGGAGATGCAATAAAGCACCTGCTCTGCAATCCCATAGAGCAAACCTGGTACTGGTACGAAAGCGATACAGCACCGCGGCTACAAATAAATGGTACAATGAACTGTTTATCTCACAGTGCCTTCGCTTTGAAGATCCTTTGTCACCGGTGGAAGTCGATGTAAATCAGCCAGGTAGGCAGCTTGGTTGTCTCTCACGTCTAGGCTACCCACAAGGTAAGCAGCACAGCAATTACAGCAGCTGAAAGGGGAATTGCATCAACCGAAAGAGCAGAACGCGAGCGCGAGGACTGCACAAAGCAAGCAGCAAATTGTCTGAGCACTGAAATGTCACCCTCTGCCCTGCCGAGTCAGAGACGAGGCTGGTCCTGCCTCGCAGATGAAGACAAAAACAGCAAGATTAACGAAACACTGGGGGAATAAATAAATAAATAAAAAGCTGGGTAAACTTCCTGCTGCAGCTATGCAAATAGCCACAGAGCAGGAAAACAAGGATTCCAGGGGCCTAGAGAAGTAACACTTTTTACATGGCGCCACAACAACGGTGAATTTAGAGAAGAATGGATGATATAAATAAACACTCTTTGACCCAATTTTAATCGGTATAACGTTATCCAAAATCATCTGACCAGGAACTCCTTCTGTCAGGGATCCACGACATTTAAAAAAAAAAAAAATTTTAAAAAAAAAAGCTTGAAACATGCAATTAAGTATTAATTAGTGTCACCAAAGCACTGGGCACTCTTGTAGATGCTGCTGAGGAAACACAGAGTAGACGAGAAGGTGATGACTCCCCCTCGTCTTTCGGATTTGGGTTAAGAAAACACAAGAACAGATTTCCACTCACATGGTTTTGTGTTTCCTTCAGTGACCATGTATGGAAAAAACGTCTCGAGGTATGGATTTCCTTCATGTCATTGTGCACTCCTCTCCTTCCCCTTCCCTTTTCATGTTCTCGCCCAGCCGATTTCCCCGGGACAGCTGGACTTCCCCCGCACAGCCTCCCTGTCACACTCCCTCACACCCAGGCGCTTGAGGTACCCCACGCCCAGACGTGAAGCCATACGAAACTACTGGAAAACAACCAAAATGTGCTTTAAGATCCTCATTTCCCAGAAACTCCCCCGCAGAGCCCTAGCTCTGGAAATGTCCCTCAGCAGTCTGCTCCAGAGACGCCGATGTGTGAAGCCTGGCCACCCAGCCCAGGGGGATCTCTCTGAAGTGACCGACCTTGGAGAACGTGAGCCATGAGGTGACACCACCTTTACTTCAGGCAGAAGCGCCTGGTGCCACGTAGGTTGGTTTCTAGAGGAATTTCCCCAAATCCAAACCACTTTTTTTTGCAATAAATGGTGTGCACTTTTCAATCAGACCCATTATTTGTCAACCCCACAGTTAGGTGCCAGCTCCGAGGCTGGAGCAATGCCAGGCTGGGCTGGCCACAGCAGGCTCTTCAGGGTGGTGTGACGTGGGGTAAAGCAGCACACCTAACACTTATTTTATGCCCCGACAGTATTTTAGAAGCATCCTTTAAAGACGGTCAGAAGTTTACCAGTTGTGGAGGAGACGAGTGGTGCTCGCATCCCCGGTTCTCACCAGCACCTTCCCGCAGGTGAGAAGGAAAGCAAGGTCACCACAGGGTAACAGCTTTCAAACGACAGAAATACGAAACGGAAACATCGCCTCTGCAGAATAAACTGAAAGGAACTATCCCATAATCCGGTATTTTTAAGGTTATTTTGTCTAATGGGTGTTAGAAGACAAAATCCTCGTACAGAAGCAATACCAAATAAAGAAAACCTGTGGAGAGATCACATCTGCCCCAGACAAATCAGGCTCATAACTTTCCACAACTTGGCACTGTAACTGAACTTGCGAGGGAAATTGCCTTACTAATACACAATCAAGATTTCCTGACACAAGTTAACATTCAATATTTTCTCTCCCCAGCCTACTGAGTGGATTCCCAGTGCTTGGATTCCAGGTGGTCTCGTTCTGAGATGGCAGCCTGACCACACAACTCCTGTCGTTAGCAATGAATGACACCAATGAAACAATTTCCTACTCGTTCAGGTTCTCCTTTCTTTTCCCTGAGCCTCTCACTGTAAGCTTCTGACACCTGCCCTTACCACCCTGAAACTAATTTGCATTTTAATATTGAAAGGCAAACGTTTCTCTAGTCAAAGTAGGATGCATATTTGATTGGATTAAGCAACAAAAAAAATATGTACCGGAATCATTATTGACCATTTTTCGTCTGGAAAACTCTCTCGCAGGAGAGATGGAGAAGCAGAGATCAATATATTACTTTGCCCAACATGTAACCAAGTACTTCGTGCTGACTTTCGGAATGGCAGACAAACTGTTACTCCCAGGTTTTATTTTTAAAATCCTCCATCATACGCCAGCAAATTTTATGCAACTGAGCAAAGTTAGTCAAGCAGAAAGTTCTTTTAGCAAGCAACTGTGTTAATTCAGCAAGCAATTGTGCTCGCTAAACAAAGCTGTGAAGAAAATCTGAACATCGTAAAAGTTTGGATCCAAAAGGACCGAGGAAAGGACCAGAAGCTCATTTGATCTGCTTAATTGGCTGCCTGCATTTCAGCCAATGTACTTGGAAGAGTTACAGGTGAAGTCTGAAGGCAAAGAATTAATCAGAGTAAAATAACTTCCAGATGTCCTTCCACACACAATTTCCTTCTAATCTAAAAGCTAACACCAGAGGAAGATGCCGAAGCTTACGGCCACGTGTGGTCATTTATGGGACCTCTGACCGCTTCAGGCAGCCCCCTGAACCTGTAACTGCTGAGCGTGCTGACAGCCTCACAGGCCTTGAAGACAAGATGCCTCACGTCCAGCCACACCACCACACCTCCATCCACATCTCATCCTGTTATGGACAGGGTTTCACCAGGGCTTCTCCAGGCTCTCTGGCTGTGCCCGAACGATTCAGGTCATGGCTGGGCCCGACCGCCACCCCAGAAGGGCTGTGAGGCCGGCCTTACGATTTATATCACATATTTATGGCACTTTGGCTGCCCTCTTGAATTGGATCAATCCCACCCAGAACAGACCAGAGGAGACAGTTTTTGTTCTCCCACAGACACCATTCAGGTACGACCAGCCCGTTCCACACTCACCATGAGGGCTTTTTCATTTTTTGAACTGTGCAAAGAGAAATTAAGTTTCAAATACCCACAGGAATACTACGTTACTCAAACATATTTAACACTTGGAGGCTTTCACAAGGCAATCTGGACTTCACAAGAAGTGGATTTCCTTGAAAACACACTGCTCACAATGCAGTTACAGGAAAATGTTCTGAAATGCACGTACCAGCATCTAAATACATGAATCACAAAATGCAACTCATCTCAACTTCTATTTAAAATAAGGATGAACTTTTTTCTCTCTTTTTTTGGTTTGTGTATGGGGGGTATTATGTTTGCTTTAATCAACATAGACCTTTTGATGAGAAAGACAGCTGGCACCATCTGCTTCAGGACAGCATGAAAACTAAAGCTTCTTCGCTCTACTTACATGTGGGGGCTGAGCTCATAAAAGTTTCGGTTTCTGTATTCTTCAACTTTCTCTGGAGTATAAATGGGTAGAGGTCTGTAGGGGTTTATTGATATCACCACACTGCCAATGTACGTCTGTTGAAAGAAAAAAAAAAGCACAAAAAATCATTGTGGATTTTTCTTTTATATATCATTCTCCTATTTACTATTTTGCAAAAAGAACAACAGAAAAGCCCAGCTGTAACAATGAATAAATACGTACACACATTCTGAAATGCTTTGCAGATCTCCTCACCAAACGATGTCAGATACCCAGTAGCTAATTCTACAGAATGGAATGCCTCCTAAGAATATTTTTAAAACAAACTCCAATCATACAAATACTTCTCTGACTAATTCAGCCAGGGAGGAAAAGGGAAAAGGACAGAGACGTTCACGAAGGAACATGCAAACACAGCACGAGCTTCGCTGCAGCCCTCGTGCCCTCACACAGAGCCACTCGGAAGCGATGCTGGAGTTCGAGTGTGGAAAGAAAAAAGATGTTTCACGGGAGCAGATGCTACGCAAACTTGCCATTACCCATGGCAAACAGCGTGGGCAGTGCACTGGTTCTCCTCAGCACCACGCTGAATGAAGCTGAATGAACCCGCGTGGCGAGAAATGCCACAATCCCTCCACGCCCTGCCTGCAGAGACTTATCAAACACAAAGTCAACCCTGAGTACTTGGTATCTCTTTCCACAGCCAGGAAATGAATAAAAACACCTGGGAAAACATGTTTTTTCAGTAAGTGGGGGCTGCCCTGAGGTGTAAGGGCTGCACACAAAAGCCACAGCTTCCCGTTATTTGGGTTACAACTGCTAGTAAATGCTGGAGAAAACCCAGTGGCACCTTAGCACCTCACAATCACTACTTGGACTTATCTCCACAGTTTTGCGCAGAGGGAAGTGCCATAATAAGCATTTTCTAACTGGGAACAGAGGTGCACGGAGCCTGAGTTATTGCCCAGGGGTTCGGCAGAGCAGCGAGTCACAGACAATACTAATAATACAGCAAACTGTGAACTCACCTGGTGTTTTCTGCCCCATTTCCAGCAGGGTCGAGCAAGCCAGACTGCAGCAACAAAGCAAGCAGCACGAGGCTGCCCAAGAGCCTCGCAGCTCTTTGCTAAACGTCTCCCCCCACGCAGCCGAGCTGGAGCAGCCCAAGAGCCCTGGAAGCAAGCTGGCTCCATCGAGAGCCCGTGGAAAATGCGGCGAGGGAGAAGGAAACCTGCCCGTGAGGGGGGCGCCCCAAGGGCTACCGAGGCAGCTGGAAAACAGATTTGTGTCTTGCACAATTTGTGGGTCTTTGCTGCTTTCAAAGATGCAGTCCTGTGTACTTTATGTACATTTTCTTCAAATGATAAATTGCTCTAGTTCGGTGGTCATCCTCCCCTCAACGTGGGAAGTGCTTTCTTTTTGTGCCTCTCTCTTGCACTGAACGATAAGGAAATCCAAAAATTCACTTTCTATAGCCAGTCTTTGCTCTGCTCTCTCTGCAGCTCTGCCACTTTGCAGGCCTCGACTCTTGGCAAGGATAAGCAGCTTTCTGGTCTTCACAAGTGCATGGACACCCTCATTAGGGCTCCTGCCTATAAAACATTGCTGTGCTAAATCATTTCCTCATGAATCTTAAGAATTTGTGAATTCAGCCCATTTTGAAATCCATGTCGGAAAGTACCAGCCAAAGACAGCTACAGGCCAGATCTTGACGTCTGTATTTAGAAACAGGAATCCTCTGCGCCTCGAAGACCTGCCCTTTCCAGCTCTCCTGCTGCCGTACACACAAAGTTTAACTGCTGAGCTCCTTGAAGCACCCAGAAACGCCAAGGCAAAGAAAGACGGGCAAGAGCAAAAAGCTTGATTTTTAATTTTGAATGCAGGCATTCAAATGAGATGTATTTAGAAACATCTCTTCGTAGCTAAGTACTGCCTAGACAACGTATTTTGGGAGTTCCACTCAGCTGCATATTGTCAGACACGAACAAATAGGGAGCACTTCCTAAAATACCAATATTTCAAAAGGTCAAATGACTCCACAGAAACAAAGCCGTACACATGTCCATTTTAAACACCAACCCAACCCACGCCAAGAAATCACTGCTCTGGCTGCGAAGCTGCTTGGAGAGCTACCACGCTGCCTCTTCTCCAAGTGCCACCATCTCACAGCTGATACCTCACAGCTCCTTGCTCGTGGTGGTCTGTGAGATTCCACAGAGCTGGGATAAACAGATCCCGAGCAGAGCTTTCCCACGTAACATCTGCCTTCCCACCAGACCTCTACGATAAACAAACAAAATAAATGGCTCAAGCCCTTGAGCGAGCAACAAGCTCAGAAACATTCCAGCGCTGGAAGGAGAGCGCCGAGGAGTAGCAGGAGGCCGTGGAGTGGCCCCCCGGGGACTGCAGAGAGCCTTTATTTTCCCTGTTTAAGGAAAAAGCCAAACCCCAGAGGAACGGCCTCATGATGAAAGCACCGAGCGCAGGCAGGAAATCTGATTTCTCTCTCGGCTTTGCCATGGTTTTGTTCTGCGAGTTTGGACAAGATCTGCTGTCTCCTCAGGTTTTGCTAATGAGAGACTCTTGATTACGCTGCTTCCTCTAGGTAGCTCCTTTATGGCAGCAAGTCACAGAGGCAAATTCTGCCTCCTTGGCGCATTCGCCCAGAGCCTGGAACAAAAGGACTCTGGCTTGTGCTTTATCGGTGCATCAGCCACGCAGCACGGTGACACTGCCGGGCATCACCACCAGTGAAGCCTGAAAACTTGAAATCACAATGCAATGGGAAACGGAGGCAACGTTTGTCACACTGAGCCTCCGTCCTGTTGGAGATGCAATTCCTGAGACCCTTTGATGCCTAATTTTTCCCTCCAGAAGTGAAAGCAAACCTAACGTGTTGCCCGGGGCAAGGTGCTACCACTGCTTCGGGCCTGTCTGTGCCTTTCTGGCCCAGCAGCTGTAAGACTGGGCTGAGAAGAGGCTCGAGGGACCAAGCCTGCAGGAGGCTCCCACCGGCAAGGCAGCGCAAGGCAGCTTGAGAAGAGCAGCAAACCACTGGCACAACTCATGGGAGAACATTTCACACCCCGGCATACAGCGCATTAATAAAGCCATTTTCCCCGACAAAGTTACCCTTGCAATAGCCCAAGGGTACAGAAGATTTTCTTCTAAATGCTGCAGCACAGAAACAGAAAAACTCCAGTGAAATCAGATTGTTAGTGGGGATACGGGCAATTCAATTTCTGCAGAGCGACTTTTATAGCCCAGATACGCACACTGCCCATTCCTCTAGTACTGCTGAGGCTCAGAAGTACTAGGTGGCTCTGATTTTGAACAGTTTCAGATCACTATAAAACAATTCACTGAAATTAAAGACATTAAAGATCAAAGAGAAGTGTGACTAGATTTTTTGGAAGGAACCCAGAACTAACGCTTGGGCAGCACTGGTTTTTTATATACATGTATGTGACATCAGCAAGAATGTATTTCTAATATACTCATTTTAATTTACATTTTGCCTGAGCGGTTGTGGTTCTGGGTTTTGCCAACTCCTGAGCACATGTGCTGCTGCACGCTCAGAACAGCTGGGGCCAAGGAGCCAGCCTGTACTTACATGTTCCCAGCTTTCTGAACCGTCTCAAACGCAGACAGAACCTGTCAAATTTAACACTGCTCCGTAATGAAGCTTCTCATTTTAATAAGCGTTAGCAGCTAGATCAGTCCCACCTCAAAATATCATCTGCTATTTGAACAATCGCGGCGTGTGCTCAAATTTGTTTTGCGTTGCGGTTGGCCACAAAAAAGAAAAAAAGTAGATAAATGCACTCTGCTTTTGGACCCTTGCGTTTTTCAGATATGGAACACCTGCTGTGTTGAGAGAAACTAAGTTTGGAAAGGAGGAAGAAAACAGTCTGAGGAAGGCTAAGAGCAAAAACACCTGAGAGGCTCGTTTCTGGGGCTTTTACTGCGCATCACAACGTAGGTGTCCAGCGTTGGTGGAGAGGGATGGGCTGGGTACCCAAACAACACACAAACAAACAAGCTCCAATTTCATCCTACAATTTCCACCCGGGGGGTTTCCGGCACTGCTTGATGAAGGCACACAGACCATAAACTCCACCTGGGACCCGAGGCACTCTGCTGCACCCTTTGCCCATGGGAGCACAGCCACGAGAAGAGCCCCCGGGCACCCTCTGCAAGCACAGAGCAAGGATCACGTGGAAAGACCAGAGCTAATAACATTTTACCTCCTCGATCAGGAGCTTCTATGAGGTTTTCCTAGAGAAAGCAAAAGAAATTTCTGTGCTTTGTGTCCCCGAACTGGCATTTCCTGGCATGTACAGCATCTCTCCGAAGCTCCTGCTCGGCTCTGAAATGGCTGCACTGATGGGGGAGATGTCACAGATAAGGCAGCCAGTTGCCACCCCCCTCACTGGAAGAGAAGCCAATGCTAAAAATGTACTTTTCCAAAGTCTAGCCTGTGGTAAACTGAAGATACAAACCAGGCTGTCATACTTAGTTTTACTCTCCATCAACAGGGAAACCGTACTGCTGGAGGAGAGAAACTTCACCACCAGGACATACCCCAAATATATTGGCACAAGCCAAACACGTCGATGGCTGATTGAACAACTCAAGACCCAACGCTCAGGCAGGTACCACGAAGGCAGAATTGCCTACCCATATCCCACAGCAAACAACGCTGACACAGGCTGTCAAAAAAGACAGCAAAGTGCTGCGATGCTGCGCTCAGGGCTTGATGCTGCAAGTCCCTGTGCAGACAGCAGCCTGCACCCACCGGGATCCAGCCCTTAATTGCACTGCAATCAGACTGAGAGCCCTGAAGCAACAACGGAGCCTCCTCCAGAGGCAGGCAGAGGAGCACAGACAAGCTGAAGCAAGTACCTGAAGAGGATGCGTGTGCAGAGATTATCGGGTTTCTCTCCTGAGTTTCTGGAGGGCACAGACTTTTCTCTGCTGATCGCTGACTGCTCTGCTAACCTCACAATCACCACGACAGGCTCTGATGTTAATAAGGAGGCAGATTAATCACCTCAGCCACCCACCCCCCCGACTGCACTCGGATGTTTGTATG